ATTACATTTTTGTTGACCAGAGAGTGACCTTCAGTTTTCTACTAACTGCTTCCCCTTTTTTAGCAGTTTTCATGACATGCACCAGGAAGCTCATTTTTAGTTCAACCAGAGATGTTCTCTAATTTATTTTTCCATTTTTTGTGTCAAAATTATGTGCTCAAGTAATACAAACACACTATTTTTTATGCATAGGCATGTTGGATACATTTTCATGCCCGCCAGGGTTTGCCTCATGCAAGTGGAGGCACCATAGCCCTCGCCCGTTGTGTGAGGAGACACCGTTGGATCGATGGTGGTAGGGGGTAATGGCAGGAGGAGAACACACGGGAGTATTTGGAGCAGAGTGAAAACATAGGCGAGTTTTGGAGTAGGGTGCTGACATGGCAGAACAGTGACATAATGACAAAAGAGAAGCACGAGGGCTCGTGGAATACGAAATGGATATCCAACATTGTTGTATGTATATTTGAGTTACATAAGAAGTCTTGGGGAGGTGAAGTGATGGAGACACATCTTTGATGGAGATGGAAGAAGAGCCCGTGTGGAGGCTGGAAGCAAACACAACATTATTCATAATCAACTTCTGAATGAACATATGGTGGAAATAATGTTTCCATGTCCATATATGGCACCTTATTTAATATCTCACCATTGGGGTGTTCCATGTTGCACGACGTACATAGTAAAGTGAGACAATAAAATAACGGCATGAAAGCTAAATGCATATTAAAGGGGCAATAGATTAAGATGATGAATGATGTATGGACACATAAGGTGATGGATAAAAAGTTGGATGGAAAAGAGCGGCTAAAAGGGTGTGTGGTGTTTGTCGGAATAGAGAGAAGAACATACTTGTGTAGTTGTGTTTGTGGGGTGGTTGGACATCGTGTGCAATGTGCTTGGTCGTAGGAAGAAAAATGAGCATTGTTTACATATTTATTTTTGGCCCGTGGCAACGTACGGGCAGTCTACTAATGTTTCATGGGGACGCACTCCACGCCTGGCAGCGTTGACACAGGCACTGATATATTTTATAAAAAAAGTAACCAACCAAGCACAGCCCAGCACACTTAAGAAAAATAGGCACCGAAAAAGAAGACAACCCAACACAAGACAAGCTTTTGGGAGAAAGCAGCCCACTTAAGAAAAGCCTCGTACACACAGCCCACATGAACGAACGGGAAAATCAATCGATCGACACAGGCCTATACGTACTATGGCGTCAGTGAAGTCTCACTCGACTGAGTCCTAGCTAAACCCTTTTGAATTTGATTTTGGTTGCCCGAGTCAACGGTCTGTGAAGTTGATATTTTTTTCATTATTTCTATATAAAGGGCTATGCTACGGCGTGCGCTGGAGCTATCAAATTCCGGAAATGCTAAAATTCTGACGTCACATATTTATGCATGGAAAATCAAATATTTTTATAACAAATTATGTTGCCGTGAGGTTGGCAATTTTCTACGGCAACCATGACAATTTCCGGCAAAGAAAAATAAACAGGACAAAGATTTGCCATGCTTGATAAAGAAAATTGTCATCCTTGCGACAACAAAATTTGCCATCTCGGGTCATCGATCTGTTATGCTCGAAAATTCTGATGCTCAATTTGTAGCGAAATATTTACATTTTTTTTCATATTTGCTCCCCGTTTGCGGTTCCGTTGATCGCC